TACTCTTTGGCACAATCAGAACGAAAAACTTTAATACGAGATTGCCATTGAGTGAAAATCATAGCAGTGAAGGCTTGATAAGCAGTAAGTACGTCAGAGCGATTCTTAAGTAGGTAAACCCATGTAAAACGAGAGAAATCGTCGATAAAACTAACATAATATAAGTAGCCAGATGAAGAAGGCAAAGGAGCTGGCCCCCAAATATCAGAATGTACTAAATCAAATAAGGAAGTGGATACAGATGTACTCATTTTAAATGGTAAAGCAGTGAATTTAGCCAATTTGCAACCAGCACATGACTCAATACTAGAACTAGATGATACAGGACCAAGTACTCCAGACTGAATAAGACTCTCCAGCCTTTTATTACACACATGACCAAGTCGTCTATGCCATAAATTGGCAGGAAGCGAGGTAGAGGGTTTTGACGAACAAAGAGAAGCAACAAGAGAACGTGGACGTATGGACTCTGGAAGGTGAAGATATTCCAGAAAATACAGTTTGTGCCTCCTACGACCCGCCCCAACCGTCTTGCCCGTCTGTGGATCCTGCACAATACAAGTATCAGAAGAAAATGAGACAAACAGGCCCGCCATGCATAAAGAGCTAATAGAAATTAAATTCAAGCACAATTGTGGAGCCACATAGACGGGACCAAGTGTTAGACGACCAGATGGATCATTTTGTGGGGTAATAGAGCCATACTGAGTAATGGACAATGGTTGTCCAGCAGCTGTGTAGATAGGAGGAAGAGAGGATGAAGTAAAGACAGAGGATAAAAGTGAGGCATTACAAGTCATATGAAAGGAACAACCAGAGTCAAAAATCCAGAGATCATTCATACCAGAGACTGAAGGATTAGCTGAAGAACCAGCAAAATGCATACCAGAGAGTTGTGCGGCGGATGTAGAGGTGATATGTTGAAAAGCATCAAGTTGACGGCGAAGACTTTCAATAGCTTGAATAGTAGAGTCTGAAGTAGTAGAAGGTATAGCATTGGCCAACAATCCTGGTGTACGAGAGGGTTGAGACTGAGGGGGTCGCCGACCACGTCCAGTACCTGAGGAACGTAACTCAGGATGAAGCTTGAAGCATGTCTCAATGCGGTGTCCTTCCTTCTTACAATATTTGCAAGAGAGCTTAGATCGAGCCTGTGGAGAGGGAGCCTGTGGAGAAGTATAATTCATAACAGGAGCAGTGACAGGTACAGACAAAACAGTCTCGAGTGAAGAGGTAGGAGTGTCTGTTGACAAATTGAGTCGTGCTGTCTGCTGCCGGGTCTCATAAGCAGTGAGAGCTCCCATAACTGAGGCCAAAGTCGGAAATTGAGGCTGGTGAAGTAGTTGATCAGCCATAGTTGAATATTCAGGAAGGGACTGAAACAATTGATGCACCTCATGCCGTTCGTACCAGGCTAGCCAGTCTTCATATGTGGAATTACGTCCAGGAAGCATGGAGCGTAACTCTGTCCAAAAAGCTTGCATTTGTCCAAAATGGGACTGCAGAGATGAACTACCTTTGCGTTGTAGAGAAATGCGTTGCAGAAGATATGCCTCCCGTGCACCCGAGCACTCAGTGAAACGCTCAGTGAGACGAGTCCACATGGCCTGAGCAGAGGGAAGCGAGCCAATCTCGACAGTGAGACCAGAGCCAACACAGCGAGTGAGATAATCCATAACACGAAATTCCTGCAATTGCCACTCTGAACTCTCCTTGACATAGAGAGCACGAGCAGTCTGAAGATCGACATCACCACTGCCAGAGGCAATAGTACTGGATGAAGCAACAGTGCTGATGGACGGTGGAACTGGTCCCGTACTGGTGAGATGATCAAGCAAACCAGCGCCACGCAAGGCATTGGTGACAATGGTGGACCACCCTGCCCAGTCACTTTGATCATTGAGGGGCAAAGGTGGTTTGGGAATCTTCTCTGAAGGAGCCATAACAGCAATCTTGAGACGTTAAGATGTCGAGATGCTGTTACTAATGTCGTTCGTTTGAGGCCGAGAGACGGCTTGAAACGACGATGCCGTTAATTTGAGACCGAGAGACGGTCTTGAAACGACAATGCCGTTAAAATAGAACCCGAAGGTTAGAATGAAACCCGAAGGTTTAAAATAGAACCCGAAGGTTAGAATGAAACCCGAAGGTTTAAAATAGAACCCGAAGGTTAGAATGAAACCCGAAGGTTTAAAATAGAACCCGAAGGTTAAACGAGAACGCGAAACGCGTTAAGAGGCCGCAAAACGACAAGGCCAAAATATCTGGCAGATGAACGCCAAATAATTAAAAATAAAAATAAAAAAAATAAAACATTAAACGGCTGCAAAGCAATAAGGCCAAGATTTGGCAAAAGAACGCAAAAGCGTTAAAAATTTTATTGAAAGGGAAATAGCCCTAGCTCTGATACCATGTTAAAGTAAGAGAGAGAGAGAGAATCTTGGGTAAATTTCCCTTGAATTGAATATTGAGTGTGCACATATATTTATACAAGTAGAGGAGTGTGAGGTTTGTTCTCCCAAGCAATGTGGGACTAAAACCCACTACAATACACTATTATCAACATAATTTTTTTTGTCCAAATCTGGTGTAACCCTTTTTGTTTTTGAGAGAGAAAGTGTAGCGTTGGTATCTAAAGAAGCTCACATGTAGGTGAAGTAAAATATTATAAAAGAAGAAAATTATGATTTATGAAAAGTAAAAGATAAAAAATGCGCACGCGATGATTATATTAGGTTTTAATTACGGTTATTTTCAAAAAAAGTAAAGAGATGATTCAATTTTAAAAAGAAAGGAAAAAATAATAGCGCAAACTCCTTGAGACGAAAAGATGCACATGGCGATGGAGATAGGAAACTTGTGCGTACGGATGGACATTTTTATATGGAAAACCAAAGTCCTTTCAATTTGTTGAATCTTGTATCACCAATCAACTTTGCTTTAGTAACAATTACTTTTTGACTACGCACTTTGTCAATAATTAAAGAGGTGCAAAAGGATATACATTGCAAGAAAGCGCCCGCCTAGCTGCCTTTTTAGTTTTTAAGCGTCTGTTTGAATACAAAGTAGGCAATACGAGGAGACTGATTGAGGTAAATCTAAGAGGAGGGATTAGAAAATAAAACGGGTTTTCTATAGAGTGCCCATGGGCACTCTATAAGAGAAGAGAGAGATAGAGAAAAATGAGTAGTTCACGAGCCCCTACTGATTTGCATCAATTTCTGTGCATAATTCATTTCTCTCTATCTCTCGCAAATCAGGAGGGGTCCATGAACTATTCATTTCTATCTCTCTCTCTCTCCTCTCTTATAGAGTGCTCATGGGCACTCTATAGAAAAACCCAAAATAAAATAGTAAAAAGTACTTGATTGTGTTTGGATGGACAACAACATGATGAGATCATGCGAGTGTACATTATAATATGCGTTTATTTATAGTAAATGATGGAAATGGAAGGAAAGCTACTCGACCAATATATTCTTCTAAAGAAATATTAAACAATTTTATTAATTATATAAGTTTTGATTTTCTCACAGGCAATCTTAAAATTTCTAGAAAAGTTTTACTTACATCCCCTCCACTCTCCTACCCCTTGCTAACTAAAAAGTGCGAACAAACATAGTTTAAAGAAAGTTATCATTCTAACCTCCTCTTTCTCCCCCCTTATCCTTTTCTAAAAAACTCTATCCAAACCCCTTGTAATTCCTTTTTTGCTTTTGAGAGAGTGAGTACGCCATTGGTGCTTACAGAAACTCACATATGGGTAAAGTAAAATATTATAAAAGGAAGTCCATGAGTATTGTATGGCTTTCCTATATTCTCGTTATCAATTTGAAATGGAGGCAATGAAGAAAGATACTCTAAAAGTTCAACTACCCTCACATTTATTTAACTTTAAATCACCATCAACAATCACTGGGCAATGACGTGTGTTGATGACACAACAAGATATGCTCATTAAGATTAATCCTTGCTATACGCTAAAGAAAGATTTAAACAAATCGGATTCTACGGGGTCAAACCTGTGAGAAGGTATCGAAGCAGACTCGATCCATTTGCATTTCGATCCAGCTAGCATCAATGGTGTATCAAAGAGATATGCACTCTGATATCTATAAATTTAGGAAATTAAAGTGAAAAGCTGCCTTTGATTTTTAACCTTCTTTTTTAAAGTGAGAATTCCCGAAAGCTTGCCAAATAAAAAGAAAGCACTTATTAAGGGCTAACACGGAGAATGAATATTCAGCAGTTTGCTCTGCTCTAAAGCGTAAATGGGCCTTGGATGCAAAGCATATATATTGTAGGCCTGGCATTACAAAGAAATTCGGTTACCATTTGGGCTCCAATTGTGTGTGGCCCAAAATATTTATTCGATAAAGTCGTTAGGTATGCTTGCCTGCAGACTTGCTTCTAAATTGATGAGAAAAATGATAGGATTTAATTATGAAAAATGAGGTCCTAATACTTGCCGTAACATGAGCCATCGACCCTACGTTCAAAATTTATTTATATGTGTATATTATAGAATTACAGTTATATAAGTATATATAAGTGCATAAGTATAATTATATATTATTATATTGCGTCTAGTATATATAAAAGTATACCGTACAAGTAAATTGTATAACTGTATTTAAATAAGCATAATGTAATTTTTATTCATTAGAGATGTATTCATCTATTGTGATACGACAAATTCCAAAACAAATTTATAATTGTAGATGATTTACTGATTATTAATAAAAAAGATATTTTTATCATTTTAATTTATATGATTTTTTATATTTATAAATTATATAATTACAAGTAATTAATAATATGATTGTTTATCAAAATTTTGGTTAATTTTTACTATATACCATTAAAAATAAAAAAAATAAAAAATCGAACTGGCCCAGTGTACAGCCTGCTCTGGCCCTGTTTTGCCAGGTCTGGGCCCGATTTTCCGGGCCGGCCGGCCCGTTTGCACAGCCGTAGGTATAAGCAAGAGTGAAGAACAATCAAGCTCGTCAACACTGGAGCAGCTTCCTCAATTTCTCGCTCTCTGAATTCGATATAAAAAAATCCAAAAAGTTAAGTCAAATGTCGTCCAATTTCAGTCAACGCCTTAATTTTAACTGATCAGCTTCTCATTTGAAGTCACTCTTGCAACCCCTTCAGATCTAGATCGGCGCTTTCTCCAGGTTCTTCATTGATCTCTCCATCTAGGGTTTGCTGTTTTTTGGTCAGTTAGGGTTTTTTTTTTATAAGAATCAAGGAAGTTTAGGTCTGAGATTCGCTAAGGAATCTGTTTCTATCTCAAAGATCTGTGCTTTCCTCAATTTCTCCATCGTTCACTCGGCGAAAAGCTTGAGAAAGAAAGAAAAAAAGAGTTTTTTTAGTTGCTTTCTATGCGATAATCTTGGGCTCTTCGTTTAATGGGCAATACATGCCGTGGATCTGTACTGAGCAACCACTTTCAGTACTCAGAGCGCACAGACCACTCAATCTCCGACACGACCTACACTCAAACCTCAATCGACTCATCTCAGCTTTCGAACTCCTCGGATCTCGACCAGTTCCCGCCGAAGCCCGCTGCCGTCACCCCTCGATCCGCCATGCGCCGAGGTATCGAACCGGGGCCCACTTCGGTCCTCGGTCACAAGACCCCCAACATACAGGACCTCTACACACTCGGCCGCAAGCTCGGGCAAGGCCAGTTCGGCACGACTTACCTCTGCACTGAGATTTCCACCGGGACTGATTATGCTTGCAAGTCTATATCGAAAAGGAAGCTGCTTGCGAAGGAGGACGTTGAGGACGTGCGGAGAGAGATTCAAATAATGCACCATTTAGCAGGGCACAAGAATGTGGTGACTATAAAGGGGTCTTATGAGGATTCTCTGTATGTGCATATTGTGATGGAGCTTTGCGCCGGCGGAGAGCTTTTCGATAGAATTATAGCGAGGGGGCATTATAGTGAGAGGAAAGCTGCGGAGATTGCGAAGATTGTTGTTGGGGTTGTCGAGGCGTGCCATTCGCTCGGGGTGATACATAGGGATCTCAAGCCGGAGAATTTCTTGTTGGTTAATAAGGATGATGATTTATCTCTGAAGGCTATTGATTTCGGACTGTCGGTGTTCTTCAAACCTGGTAAGGGATTAGAAATAGTTGTTTTTTAGTGAGATTTGTTCTGAAGATATGTGGTTTGGGAATTAGAATAGTGCTGAGTTTATCGTTTGCCGTAGGGAAAATGGCATGCTAGTTATTGGTTAGTGTGCTATGAAATTGGCTCTTTCAATAATAGTTGTGCATAACTAGTAGTCAGGGTTCAAGATGTATTATGATTTTAGCTATTTTCAATAATTTTTGTAAGTTGCAACATGACTGAACAAGACTATCAAACTCTATCTTCAATACAATTATTACGAAGGTTTATTCCCTAGAAGAGTCTAAATATAATTCTGGAAAATCAGCATGATAATTAATGAAGGTGCTATTTTGATTGCTTGTTGGACATAACAGCATTATGCTATCTATTACTCACGAGTATTTATTTGATTATTTTGGCTCCCTCCAACTTCAGAGTTAGATTTGGAACTTGTTGAAGGTGGGATCCCTTAGAAAAGGGTAATACTAACTATCTAGATTTCTTGTAGGGATGGAAAATGTCTAGCCATTTATATATATTGCTTCTTTTCTCATGCGTACTTGGTGCTAATGCCACTTCAGGTGAAGTCTTTAGAGATGTTGTTGGGAGCCCATATTATGTAGCTCCTGAGGTACTATGCAAGCGTTACGGACCAGAAGCCGATGTGTGGACTGCTGGTGTGATACTCTACATCTTGCTGAGTGGTGTACCGCCTTTTTGGGCAGGTGTGACTTTACTTTCCTGGCAACTGGCTTCTGCCATATGTATTTAAAATGATCTGGCTAATTAATGAACCTGAGCCCTTTTCTTTATTAGAAACACAACAAGGGATATTTGATGCGGTTTTGAAGGGAGTAATTGATTTTGATTCGGATCCATGGCCTTTGATATCTGACAGTGCTAAGGACCTAATCAGAAAGATGCTTTGTTCTCCTCCTTCGGCACGACTGACAGCTCATGAAGTACTATGTATGTTAATCTCTTTCACTTCGCAGCTGCATGTGTCACTTTATCTTGTTTTATGTGAGACATAATTCCTGTTATTTCTCTAATTTCCAATTAAATTGTTATAGATTAACACATCCAGTTTTAAAGAGATTTTCCTACTTTTTCTGATTTACATTCTTTGTTGAACCTTAATGGGGTTTTATGCAAGCTAAAATTTTAAAAGAACTACCCTTTGTCTTTGTATGGAATGTAAGACCGTCCATGTAAATGCAGGTACCTGAACAAGATAACCAATATCAAATCATCCAGTGTCTTAATAAACAAAACAAGTGACAAGTTTAGTTATATCTGTTGGTTCCCAATGGGGCATTAAATATGTTACATGTGAAAGTAGCTGCACACATAATCTGTAGCCATTTGGTAGGAAATCAGCAACAAATATAAAAAGGAATCTCTTATATAGTCAAGTCCGATGGAAGGCATTATTCGCTGGCAGGACTGTCATATGAAGCTGTGAATCTTGTGGTGAATTGGATGGAACTGAAGGAAAGACTTGACTTCCTTCGTTCATAATTTGTGCTGCACATATAGAGCTTTGTTTGGACAGTATGTGAGATTGGAAGTTCTATGATTTCTCATTCTGAGCAATAGTGTGTTAAAGGTTGTCGTATTTGGGTTCAGGAGATTCTGTTTCTTCGTAATATCACATCATTTATTATAAACTTAAATTAGGTCTAGCTGCTATAATATTGGCTCCCAACGGAATCTCGAAATATGTACAGTAGTTGCTCTGGGTTATAAGTCGCTGTCTCTAGCCATTTGGTAGGAAATATGCATCCAACATGAAGGAAACTGATATATAATCAAATACAATGAAACTGAAATTTGTCAAATAAAACTGTGGCTCTTGTATATACAAAGCTAATAAAACTGAAATTTGTTAAGGGGTATATTCCAGAATATAAACAGCTAAAGGAGAAGAATGTGGGGAGTCAATTAAACATTAAAACTATAACAAAATGGAAGCCTCCAAATCCAATGCATGTTAAAGTAAATGTTGAGGGTGCATGTTGCAAACTTCAGAATCAGTTTTGCTTGGGGGCTGTCATCAGAAGAGAAAATGGGGAGGTTATGGCCTCACTCAAAGAACAGGCAAATGGTCTTCTATCTTTAGTTGCGGTAGAGGCTATTGCGATTTGAACAGGGATGAAATTGGCACAAGAGCTGCAGTTTTTATGTGTGATTATAGAAAGCAACAATGAATGGCTGATAGAAGCTTTAAAGAATTGAAGTGGACAGCAGACAGAAGTTGGAGATATCCAGGAATATTCAAGCTCTATTTGACTTCTTGAGTAAGGTTATATTCTCGCATACAAAGAGGGAAGGGAACTGTGTCGCCCATGCCATAGCTAAATTTTCTGTAGAAATTGGTGGATGTATTGTTTGGATGGAGGAAGTACCTGTGTCAGTACAATCTCTAGTCCAAACTGATGCCTCTCCTTTTCAATAATAGCAGGTTCATTTTCTGATTAAAAAACAAAAAACTGTGGCTTTTGATGGAATGCAAAGAAAAAGAAAAACTTGTCATCCTTCCTTCTTAATCTGTACTGTTTTAATGTAGCTATTATTTCAACAAATATGGTTCCGACTTCCTTTTCTAGGCCTTTAGCTGGCAGGTAACTAGAAGGTGCTGTTTCATTCTATTATTCCCAAATGCAAAAAGGGCCAATGCTACTTAACATAATCTTGTCGTTAAATAACTCATGATGAAGTGAGCACTTCTAAGTTATTGAATGGTTTGTCACTTCATTTGTTGCTTTCCTTATTCAGCTCATCCCTGGATTTGTGAAAATGGTGTTGCTCCTGACCGACCTTTGGATCCAGCTGTCCTTTCTCGCATCAAACAATTTTCAGCCATGAATAAGTTGAAGAAGATGGCTTTACGAGTGAGTACTTCTATTTGCTGTGAGAAATTTTACTACGCTCAGCTGTGAAGCTTTCCATTTCAAGAAATCTTAAATATATAGAAAGCGCATACCTGTTTTACATCTCTTAATTGAGCAGTTATTCTGTTTACTCACTATCTTACTGAAGTGAGGATTAGCTTAAAACAGCCCAAGAAGAATGTGAGATTGATGGCTGTAAGTACTGGTCTTATCATTGATTTCTCATAATTTGTTGCGCATCCTCCTAGGTAATAGCTGAAAGCCTTTCAGAGGAGGAGATTGCTGGATTAAAAGAGATGTTCAAAGCAATGGACACTGACAACAGTGGTGCAATTACATTTGATGAGCTGAAGGAAGGTTTGAGAAGATATGGTTCCACTTTGAAGGATACAGAGATACGTGATCTCATGGAAGCGGTAAGTCGACTCAGCTTAGATGAATCACTAGATTTAGTACTAATGCACCCTCATGCACATGGACACTTACTTAGGCACATCTCAAACATGGAGGATAGACTGAACTTAATAGGAAAACCATTGTTTCTTGGAGGTAATCTCTACTCAGCTATACATTACATTTATACATTCTCATCAATTTGGACATTTAATTTCAAGAAGTAAGTAGTTATATATATCATGGTCGAACCAGGCTTAAGTCAACTGTTAATCAAATCTCTTATTTGTTCTGTGGATTTGATAAAATTAAGCTGGAAATCGCTGCATTGCTACAGCCTGATGAAATTCCACATTTTTTGGGAAGTACAACGACGGTTGAATGCGTAAGGTTAGTTAGGGTTAGAAAATTAATCATCGTTGGGACGTTCCATATAATTTGGAATACAATCCTTCTCAAATTTTAGTCTTGGAAGTTGGAATGCAATCCTTCTCAAATTTGGTATCGTTGAAGCTCGTATCTCTAATCTGTTGAGCCAGCTTTTACTTCATAGAGGTGCTTATTGTAAGTGATAGGTGGTCAAGGTATTATGGAACTGAACATTCGGAGTGCACTTAGAGAGGTCTTATATTACGATTTATGATCATGAACCCTCTGAACTGCTGACATAACAAAGCAGCCTCTTGTGGACTAAAATAGAAGTCATCCAATCTGAACTTTCTCAATCTAAGATTTTTCCTTAGTAGTATGATAGTTTCCTTGGAATATGTTGCCAATTTATTTTCTTGAAATACATTTCCCCCCTACATTTTATGGTAACTGATTGGCTTAAAAATTGCATTAGGCTGATGTGGACAACAGTGGTACTATTGACTATGGGGAGTTTATTGCTGCAACTATACATCTCAACAAATTGGAACGTGAAGAGCATTTGGCAGCGGCTTTTAAATATTTTGACAAGGATGGAAGTGGTTACATCACTGTTGATGAACTTCAGCAAGCTTGCAAAGAGCATAACATGGAAGATGTTCTTCTTGAGGATGTAATCAAGGAAGTTGATCAAGATAATGTAAGTATGAACAAACTTCACAATTTCCCAGTTTTAAAATACAGCTCTTAAATTGCTGCACTTTTGCGTGTGGATGATTGCGCACATGAATGCATTAACAACGTGGGTAGGAAATTATTTACTTTACTAGTCTCTCTCACTTAGCAGGGTGAGATGAGATTGAATAATATTTGCACGGTAATTTCCTATGCTTCTTGGTGAAATTTTAAATGCTATAATGAATCTATTATTGTGCAGTACCACTTCTCCATGCTTATATTTGGCATCAATAACATATTAGCCAATATCTGTCATAGCTTGGCTGCCAATCTTAGGTAAATTTTTTCGTGCGATATTGGATTTAAGATGGCCTGGGTTATTCAATAGCGTTATTAAACACTGATCACATTCGAAAGTGACCATGGCCATTTACATGGACAATCTTATTGTGGAACTCCTCCAGCTAAACAAAAATATTTAAGTTACAACAACTTGGGTTTCCTAGGGGAAACATGAGCTAAGGAAATGAAATCCTGTTCTTTTTGGACCTTGGCTTCATCTAACGATCATTAATGTAGCATTTTTTTAACGCGCAGGATGGTCGTATCGATTATGGTGAATTTGTTGCTATGATGCAAAAGGGCAATATGGGAGTTGGAAGGAGAACCATGAGGAACAGTTTGAATATAAGCATGAGGGACGTGCCAGGGGCGCGAGTTCTGTAAAATTCTTACCGTTGTTGTACAGGTTGCTTAAGATAATTTTTAGCTTTTCCTGTTTACCTCCCCATTTCTTATTAGGGTTGCGTGTCTATTTTAATTCATTTCTAAAATTCAGGAAATTGTGGTGTGTAGAGATTGAACTTCCTCTGTATAATTTTGTTTCTGTGACATATGGTTCATGGTAACATATCTGTTTGCTAAGGTTGTAAAAGTATATATTATATGTAGGTACTTCATGTGTTTATTGTTATATTAAATACACCCTAAACAAAATCCACATTGTGCATATTTCATGCTTAGGCTTGTAAAAATCACTTTGATAAGGCCCAGAACAAAAGCCAATTTGGTATCTTAGTCTTGAGTGTGCATTGTATCAGGTACATCCAAAAGGGAGGTCACTTTAGGTTCCCTTTTTTGTCTGGAAAAAGACCAAAACAAGAACTTGCAGCTTGCATTTGTGAGAGCCTATTCACCAGTTGGTCTATGATTTTTATTTGATTGAGACTAGGCGTTTCTCTTTCCTCTTGGATGCTCAAAAATATTCCTAGACGTAGAACAGAACAAATGAGGAGCAACCAATCAAAGTTTTTGTTTTTTTGTTCCTTCTCTCCTCTGGATCTCTTTTTAGCTCCAGCATCATTATTCATGTAACTCACTCGCCTCACTTGTTTTTTTTTTTCCTTTTCCAAATCAGTTCTTTTTTTTTTTTGAATTATTGGTTCTTGTAGCAAAAAATGGATGGAGGGAGATGCTGATGTAGTCACCTTCCTCTCTCTCCCTCGGGCCTCAACATGCTACTTGTGGGGTCCAATATGGAAAATTATTATCAAAAGGGAGAAAGAAGAGATATTTTGCTTTTTTTTTGGGATATGATAGTTTTGGGATGTAAAAAGTGCTTTTTTGTGGTTTTAAAAATCCATAACTTTGTTTGTTTCACTTTTTTTTTGGGATATTGAATCCCTAAATTATAAAACAATAATATTTTATTAGGATTTGTGAAATCCTCTCTCTTGTTTCCATCTTTTTTTTGGGATATAAGGTTTTAGAAATCGATAACTTTGTTTGTTTCAAAACCAATTTTGGGATATCAAATCCCAAAATATTAAAAACTATTATATTTAGGCATTTGTGAAATTCTACACTTGAGAGAGGATGTGGGTTGGATATTGATGTATTAATGCTTATAATATAAGATTAATATAAGATTAATATATTATATATAATATTATAATAATATAATATTTAATATAATACATCTATATATATATATAATTTAATATATATATATATAATATAATATATATATATATATATATATATTGTATTATATATATATATATATATAATATAATATATA